CTGAGGCAAGTTCTGGCCCCTCCCCTTGCATCAAGGCTGTACAAGGTGTCCCACCATAGGCAATGGGCTCCAAAAAGCTAGTTCATGCACCAGGGATGGATCCTCTTCCCACTGTCAGAGGCTCCTCACACAGACCAAGGTAAACAACTGTCTCACCCATGCATAGGGCCCAGTCCAATCTCATGCAGGCTCCACAGCTGCTGGTCCAAAGTTCATGAGTTTCCACTAGCTTGGTTTGGGTTTGTCTGTAAGTTCCCCCATCATGGTCTTGATGCCTCTTGCTCATATAATCCCTCTTCCCTCTCTTCGACTGGAATTCTGGAGCTCTGCCTAGTGCTGGGCTGTGGCTCTCTACATCTGTTTCTACTATTACTGGATGAAGGCTCTATTATGCAGTGTCATTTTGTTTTTTTTTTTTAGAATTGGAGTCTAGAATGTCAAGGGTTTGTAAAAGGGTTAAAGGTTAATAAATGCTATTTCTTTGTGCCCTTATATGTATATATAAAATATATAATATGCAAATACAATATAATATATAGAGTTGGTTAATACGTTATTATTCATCTATGTGTGGCTGTTCTATAGTGGGTTATGTGTAAAATTATTTTCAGCTATTACATTTTATTTTCCTTCAAATGTATAAATATGGAATAAGAAATATGATCCTCATAATTAAATTGTTTATAAGTATGATGTAGATAATAAAGTGTTATCTTAAAAGCATCAGCATGAATGGCAGAGGCATCTGGTAAAGGTTGTTATATACCTGATTTTTCACATACTAGGACTTAGCAGCGATCATCTGTTATACACAAAAGTCTCCAGTAGCTCTCCACTTTTTAGAAATCAAACTTAATGCTCTTTTAATATATGTTATTTCATGCATATGAGTGTTTTGCTTGCCTGTATGTCAGTGCACCATTGCATGATGGGTGCATCTGAGTGTCAAAAGAAGGTATTTAATGCCCTGGAACTGGAATTACAGATGGTTGACTTGCCATGTGGGTGCTTGGAATTAAACTTGGTTCCTCTACAAAAGTATCAAATTATTTTAACCACTGACCATCTCTTTAGGCCCCAATTTTAAAACTATCTTTTTTTGAAGGTTTCAGAGGTACTTTATTTTTTCTTCAATATACTATATTTTAGTGAATACATGATTCTTTGACTTGGAATCACTTCTAAGTTGATTTTGAAACAATCACTTGATTATTGTAGCAACTGGCATGACTACTGATCTCTCCATTCCTTTGGGGTGACTCTGCCAACAGGAGACAGGTTCCATTCTATGCCAATTTGTATTGCTGTGTATGTCCATGTAGAAACACAGAAAATTATCTAAAGAAGTATAGTTATAGCATACAGTGAACTCAAACCTCTCTTTGGTAGAATTATACCAAATTAGTGTATTTTATCTTTGGGTTCCTAAAGCCATTTCTTATATTTTCTTTCTGTTAGACATGTTCTTCTCTTGTTTGTATTGTTGGACAGTAATCTGCTCTACCTGGAGAACACAGGATTTATAAGTAACTAATCATATGGTCAATCGGGCATTAATCAAAAATTTTCCAATAATGAAAATTCAGAATAGATGTTTTGATTACCATGTAGATAGATGTTACCAGAGATTCTCAGGGATGCACACTTGCTTCATTAACATGAGTTTTCTGCTTTTATCAGTCTATTTAGTCTGCCCAGCATATCTATAAGATCTACATTGTGGGGAACTGCCCCACTGGGAACATAGGTTACCTGTGAAAAGGTGTTCTAGAACTGAGGAAAGGTAAGTGCTTCCACTTTCCCCAGTCTCCCTCTTACCTGGAGACAATCAGACACAGCAGGGAGTCAAGTCAAGCAAGAACTCCTTTATTGATAGGCAGTAAGTGTCTTTTATACGAGAAAACCTCCAAACCCCAGGAGGGGGTGAAGGAACCAACCAATCATTTTAAAGGTCAGCCTATTTACAAATTGTTTATGTCCTGACACTATCTCTTGTTTTTTAGTATCCTATCTTAGCATAAACAACTTAAGCTAACTTTCTTTCTCACCATTTGGCTTTAAACTCCATACAAACAACCCACCCTTTCTCTTAGCCATCCTTTGTATCTATTCTTTGCACAGACAGCTTAAACTAACTTCCTCTGGTACCATTTGTATCCACTCTCTGCATAAACAGCTTAGAGCTTAAGCTCTGTTTATCTAAATTTCTCTCCGCACCCTCTTTGCAGCCCATGTATGCCCCACACAACAGATTCAACCAAATGTACATTGAATATATTTGTAAGATAAGAGTGTGTGTCTGAACTGAATGCATACAAACATGCTGTTCTTATCATCATTTCATAAATAATACAGTAGAATAGATTTCTTTTATAACTTACATTGTGTTATGTGTTTATGAAAAGTCACCTAGAGATGACTCATGGTAAATAGGATGTACATAGGTAATATGTAAGCACTATAGAGGGGATCCAGAACCAATCCTTCATTGATATTGAGACAATCATGCTACCACTTTCTTGTTTCAATAGTTAAAAAATAAGCCAATGAAAGAGAAAAGGACAAAATGATAATATAATCAGTTAACATACAGAGTTATTTGGGATAAATTAGAAAAGAATATGAATATAAAAGTGATTATTAGAAATGGTGAATACCATTTCCTCTGATCAAATAGAAAAGGTGTAAAAGTTAAAATTTTAGCATTGACACATGCTTTATTCTATATTTGTCACAGAATGTACAAATGAATTTTTAGTATCGTTTCTATCTTTTCAGTAACATTTAGAACTATCCTGCAGAGGGCATGTTGACATATGATGAGACAAACGCTTAACTAAGGTCTGCTCATAGCAAGTAAAGGAATTGAGACTTCAGACATTTCACTTGGCTATCTATCTGTATACCATCCAAAATCCATTAAGTGGAGATATGTTTAGTAAAGTGAAAATGCTAATAATATACATTGTAATTTCTACTTCACCCAATGCCAAATTCAATGTGTTCCTTACAAACTTATTATTCATTCATAAGACAAAGTAATTTTTCATTGCCTTCATGTTTATTAGTAAACATTAAAATTTACAGGTTTATTAATTATCAAAATATATACTTTTCAGTAATATTAGCATTTCATATGAAACCATTTTGAATTAAACTATAATAATCATAGTAACAAAGGTTGGATTTTGGAAACATTATTTTCTTATATGGAAACATTCTTGTTGTAGAAATGGAATCCTCTTAACAGTTTTTAATTTTCATATTGCATTAGAAAAGGGAGAATTTCCATTTTAAGACATGTAAATAGCTGATATAAAACAGAGTGTCTCCAACATGAACTCCTTCATTTTCACAAAATTCCTTTTTGTCCCTCATTATCCATTAATTCTCCAAGAATTTCAAGCAATATATTTTGACCATATTCATCCCACTCCACACACTCCTCTCAGATCCAGTTGTCTTTCCAATTCACCAAATTTTGAGTCCTTTGTGTAAAGAAATTAGACCCTTCAGATTCAATTTATGCTGCCTATATACTCAGGGATGCATGACCTTCATTGGAAGTGATCAATCTACCATGGTAACATCCTTAAAGAAAACTGGTTCTTTGTCTCTAAGTAGCTTTCAATTGACAGCAGCTCCTCATCTATGAGTGGGGTTTCATGGCCTCCTTCTCTCTCCATACTGCAATTCTCTCTGGCTTGAGCTTGCTTGACATGTTCACACTGTCTCAGCTGCTGTACATTTATGTATGTAACAACTCTGCTTTGTCCAGAAAATACTCCTGGTGCCTTCCACTGCTTCAGGCTCTTAGAGTCTTTCTGCTTACTCTTCCAAGGGTTAAAAGGCCTTCCCATTTATCTCAGTAAACATGACCCAGATTTTAAAATTTCTTCAGATTCATCTGTTCTGGAGAGGTACCTTGCTGGTGTTATATGGAATGCAAATACTCCAAATTAACATAGTGCTTGTATTCAATTCTCCAATATATTTCCACTTTGGGGAAAAATCCTTTATAAAGGTGAAAGTTTACTGTAGAGCTTTTATAAAAAAAAAAAAAAAAAAGCTAGGCTGTGCACTCTAATTTAGAGTTTGGAAAACTGTCTTGTGTCAAACTGACAACTATCTAAGGATTCTAGAGGCAGAAGATTCTAATCTCCCATTGTGTATTATCTATTTGGATTTTCCAGATTTTTATGTGCTTCATTACACATAAACCTAAGATAGTTTGAGAGTGAAGTTATATGTTCATAATTTATCATCTTAATGCAATAGAAATTGTTTAAAGCCTAGTTATGAATATTTGTATGTGTGAGTTAGGCCCTTCATTTTATTTTAAGGGGATACTTTTTAGGTACAGTGCCAAGTGGCTATTTGACCATATACAGAACAACCCTCTTTAATGACATCTTGGTCACATAATATAAAGTTGTAATCACAGTTGTGGATCTTACTGTTGTTTGGGATTTTCGTAGTTTATCATATGTATTTTCCTAGCTCTACTTTAAAGTTCAGTAGGCACATTTGACAAATACCTCTGTGAACATCTTGTTCAACCTGGAGCATAATATTTTGTTTGGCAGGATTTTCTGCATCATATTGCTTAAATTTAGATAAACTTCTTCAGTGAGCTAAATCCAGTTTCTCCCATTTTAAATGCAAATAATGTTTTGTACTTTAATTTTGCTATTTTTAAAATTCCAGAATTTTAAATTAATCTAAGATTAATAGAGAAAATTCAATGCATTTGTTTTTCACACCATGAAATGTTGAGGTTATATGGATAGGGGAGTGAAGTTTTGTCTTAGTTTTGGGTCATATGGAAAGATTCTAACCATTCTCTCAAGTCCAGATGGAAGAATTTGCTGCAAGCTACAAAAACCCAGCACAAACTACATTAAACAACAGAAAAAGATTATTTGTTGGCTCAAGGCATAATTGACCAGGTGGAGTATGAGCCTAAAGTATGTGTCATAATTAAAACTTTGGCTTTGAAATTGGAAAACTTTCTCTGTACATAATAACATTCTTATCCATGGGAAAGTTATTCACATTAAACACAATCTTATCTGTCTTGTACATTACTAGTGAATTTATCATGGTCATTGTTCTTTGTAAGTTGCTCTTCTTTATATCAGATATATCATGTGCATGTGAATTTCCTTCTAGAACTAAGTTCTGGAATTTACTTTCATTTTCATTTTTCCTGATGTAGTCTATACTTCATTTTTCTGAAATAGATTATGATAACTCCTGATAGATATAGTAGGAAATTCTTATGTTGTTGTGCTGAACATTACATGTTACCCCTGGTATGGATCATCAGTAAATTATTATATATATGTCAAGTATCTATCGGAGTGCTATAATGTTTGCATGTCACCAAACACTATACCAGATAATATATGCTTAAGAACTCACAACCAAACTGTAGCATCATTTGAACCATTAAAAATGTTGATAAATCCTATAATAAATCTCCATTGTGAAAATTTGTGTACCCATGTGAAGCCAAACTGTAACCATTGAACACCACACAAGTTCTATCTGGGCTTTGTTTTTATATCTCATGACAAATCAAAAGACTTTTCCAACATCTGGCTGATGTGCATGCACACACACACTTGTACATGCCCCAAAATATTTACATAAATGAATACTTACATAATCTGCATAAGCAACACTTAACCCAAGAGTTGCCTCTGGTCTTTAGGCTGCTGTTCTATTTTTTTCAACCTTCAGTATTTTATTGAAATGTTGGCACACTGCATAGGCCAAAATAAAGTGCCAGGAGAGATGCAAAATGTTGTTCCTAAAATATATTATTTGTTGATTCCATCATATTTTCCCTAAAAATAAATGGTTCAGATTAGAAAAATATTTTGAAGTTTTAGAATGTAGTTCAGTGGTAGAGTGTTTGCTTAGGTCTTATACATACTACACACGATACCACTGTGTTCACTCACACAGGAGTAATTGAAGCCATGAAAACTAATAAAATCTTAAATAATTAGCTGTTTATAAAATGAAATAATCTCAAATCCATAAACTCTTCTTCAATGTTATCATTGTATGTAGGTATTATAGGTTTATGTTATGTGTATGTTATGTATACATAGCTGAGCCCATTTTCTCTCTTTGTAGATACACCAGACAGTATAGATATATGCATTTTTTAATGTGAAGACTTCAGGTAGATTGCTAAGCATAATTAAGATATCATGAATATATAGAGATATTATAAGACATAAAAACACTTTAGGTTGATAAATCAGTAAACACAATATTAATGTGCAGAATGGTGAGTTTATATGATAATTATGAAAGAAGACTAATAAATACAGGCAAATATTTGGGGGGAATTATCATGTCTTTAATAAAAATGATAATTATCTTTGAATCCTGTTTAAATTTAGTTTTGGTTTATTTATTTTCACTTTATGCATGTTGGTGTTTTTCTTACATGTATGTCTATGTGCCATGTGTATGCTGGTGGCTGAGAAGGTCATAAAAGGGAATGGAATCCCACTGAAATTTGAGTGAAAGATGAGTGTGCACCACTATATGAGGGCTAAGAACTATACCCTGGTCCTCTGTAACAGCAACAAGTACTATGAACTGCTGAGCCACCTCTCCAACCCAGAAACTTGTCTCTTAAAGCACATTTGTTCTGTATTGTCATGTTTATAGAAGAGATTGAGTTTAGCTGTTGAAGTGGTTGAAAGGAGGACTTGGTATGTGAAGAATGTTCTGTTAGCTAATGTGAGTGCTAGTGCTAGTAATGTATGTTCATTCTCGGAAAATTCTTTGATTTTGTGTTTTTTGACTTGTATGTAGACTATTTTTTTCCATTTGTAATGCAATTAATTAAAATTTAATTTTGAAATTTGTTAGAGTTTTGCTGTCACAGACCTGTGAATAATTCATTGCAAGATAGGTAAATTTGGCAACTGAGGATACTGTAGTACAAAGGCAAATTCAAAACCAATCATTTGGATCTGTGTCACTTGCTTTACACAAAAAAAAAAGGAATTTAATTCTCCACACAAAAACTGAAAATAAACTAAATTAAAATCACCTTTTATGCTTGAGAAAAATCTGATGCATTTTTTTTCTTAAAATTTTAGCTCCACAATCTACATTACATACAAAAGTTAACATATTATACCCATATCACTTTTATGATATAAACTGTGGAAAAAATAATAGCTCATTAGAATGGAATTATAGTTGAAATATTTATAATGTGTTTTAGGTGATGTATGGGAAAATAAAAATCTCCCTGAACTAGTCATAATAGTTGTGATGTGGTTAAATATGAGAAACTGATAAACAATGTAAAGTTTAAATTTTGTATTCATCTAAAATTGTGAATTTCAAAAAGAAAAATCAGCAATATGCCAATAGTATTATAGTAAACAATTGCTTCCTGAATGTCTATTCAGCAATCTATCTTGCACTTGAAAAATATAATTTGCTCAACTTAATATCACAGTAAAATACTCAGTCTCTAACTCCCAGCACATTAAGTTTCATGACATAAATTTAGGAATGCAGACTTTTCTCTCTTGGTAGTTTTGGCTGAGGTCCTGTTGACAATGAGATTGAATCTTTACTCATCATAGTAAATACTGATGAGTTTAGACCTCATTAGATTCCAAATGTACGTGTACTCAAATGTTAATGTATAACATCACTATCTTGTCTGTATATTCATGACATCCTTGATTTGCAAATCTTTAGTAATTCTTACGGAATTTATAAAGTTCTCAGCATGTGCTAATTTGTTAGTATTTATGGACTAATTTCCAATGAGTGTGGTAAAATCTGAGTTATGTAGTCTTTCATATATTAAGAGCCTTATTGAATATATGATATCCACATACATTCCCATCAAACATAGAGTGGGATATTTGGAGAAATCTTTTCTGTATTTATCTGCTTTTTCTACTGTTATTGCCCAAATTAGTTCAGTTATTCCCTGTTCAGTACTTAGTCCAAAGCAGCTTCTCTAGTACTGAATCACCTGCAGCAGCGTTTGGCTTCTACACTCTGCCTCATTATTTTTTCAGCTATTCATTCATTATTTGCTTTTGGGTAATTATTGCTCAGCCAACATTGTTCGGCTGCAGACAGCCAGGGAAATAAAACATCTGCTTCCAGGATGCACAATGCTTAGGATACATTGAATAGTGGATTTTAATAAAATGTTAACATATGGGTATGTCGTTAAAGTACATTGGAGTCTCTGAGGTGGCAGAGTAGAATGATGTAAGAGCAAACAGGGACCCCATAGTGAAGCTTCATTTCTCTAAGGAGCTTATGCACTAGAAAGTTAAGCTAAAGACTGCTAGCCTGGCTATGACAAGTTGATGTCTCCTTCTCCTCTTAATCAGCTCTTGAAGATGTGGGTGATATAATTTTTCCCAAGAATCAAAGATAAACACAGGAGAAATATGCTGGTCCAAGCAAAGATGATTAAGTGGGAGCAGAAGCCATCCCTGGAGCATGAACTCTTCTGTTCTCTTCAGCAACTGTAATAGTAAAAAAAATAAATAAACTAATAAAGAACATCTTGCACTCCAAATGGCAATGTGTGGGATTAGTTGTATATTTCAGTTGTATTTATCAAACAATTTTAAAATTTGCAAACATTTCTTAAATTAGCCAAAATGAAATAAAATTTATAGTCCATTTGCTTTAATGAATAACAATTTCTTGCCCAAGATAAATAAGTCAGAATATTCAGATATCCTGTACTTTTGGGTTTTTTGTTTTGTTTTGTTTTTGTTTTTGTTCCAATCTGTAGCGCACTTGGAATGATTAGATTCAGAATCAGGAGAAGCAATAAAGATCACCTTTTACACATTTATACATTAAAACTTCTTTCTTCACAAATGTCCACCATTGACAACTGCCAACTGTAAAAAAGCAAAACAAAAGAAAAAGCCAGACTCTGGAGCTATTTTTTTTTTTTTTATGTTTAAATCGTTTGTTGGTTTAAATAAATAATTAGTTGGAATATGGAAGAACTGCATGACCCCGTTGTGTCTTGGATTTCTCCGAAGTCAAATGTGGTATTAATAACGTCATCTTCAGAGTGAGAACAAGCTGATTAACATAATTCACATATAGTATTTTGGACAGCACCTAACATAAATAAGTGCTCCTTAAAGCATAGTTATAATTGTATTTGTATGCATAGCAAACCCATGCTGCTTTTGTAGAATGGTCCAATTCCTATTGCTATTCTGGAATCAATAGAGAAAACAAAACTCCTGCTGTTAAAACTAAGGGACAGCTTCCTGAAGCTGTGCCTTTTCATTTTCACCCCTGTGTACATAGCCACGATCATCATTATAAGTTCCACAGCATGGGACTACTTCTTGCTTTAAAACAACTCAGATATAATCTGTTAAAATACTTGGAGCAATGCACATGCACTTTACTGCATTTTTCCAAATAATTCTTAATGTGGCTTCTGATTAATTGCCCCACCCCCACTCCCTTCCAATGTACAGCAATCTCCCATACTGGCAAATCTTCACTAGATGGGGAAGGTTTGTTCATGGGGAGAACAAACAAGACAAGTTCAGCCTAAACTGTAAGTGCTGGTCCTCTCCAGCAAACATTGTCCTCCAAGAGGCTTAGGAATTTTGGTGGTGAATCATTAGGTTCCTCAATTTACTATGCTGATGGCCTCAAGGATCAATGAACTGTATGCACCCCTCTCAGATGGCAGAGTATGGGTCTTGTTGCCTCCCTGCAGGAAGAGTTACAGTACTAGGTGGGTCAGGTACTACATGACAAACCTAAATTAAGCAGAATAAAGAGAAAAGAGTGATTCTGTGTAGTTGGAGTTTTTTCTCTGGGTCCCGCCAAGCTTCTACAGTCTAACAGCCCACTTATAAAATAAACACACAGATGCTTACATTATTTATAAACTGTATGGCCATGGCAGGCTTCTTGTTAACTGTTTTCTCAGAGTATATAGTGAAATTGTGATCTATCTATCTATCTATCTATCTATCTATCTATCTATCTATCTATCTATCTATCTATCTATCTCTCATCTATCTATCTATCATCTCTATCTCTGTGTGTGTCTCTGTCTCTGTCTGTCTCTGTCTCTCTCTTCTCTTTTATAGAAAGTACTTGAGGGCGATTCCTATAGAGATGAACAGGGCAATTCCTGTAGAGATGAAAAGATGTCAAAGACTGTGTTCAGGAGACTGTCCCTCTCAACAATAAGCCCTTTGTGTTTGCTATTTCTTAAGCCTGGAAGTGTTATTTCTATCCACAGAGCTCATAAGAGTTGTTAGTGTGTATTGGGCAATCAATGAATATATCTGAAGAAAATGGATTCTATTCTTGACCCCCATTCTTGGTGAAAAGGTCAATAACTATAAAGATATCCACTGTTCTCTCCTGGAGACAGGCTCTTGTCACTCCCTGGAGTACAGTGTTTCCTGAGTGAATCATCTTTTATCCAATGGCTTGATCATTTGTCAAGTGAGAACAGTGAGCTGTTGAAACTAGCAGTTGTGTGTTTATTCTCTCTTTCTATTTCTTGGTATCTATTTCTTAAGCAGGTGTGCTGATTTCTCAGCCTCTTTGTTCATCTGTGAAATGAATGGAATAATAATTGCTACACAAATTGTTTAATATATACACAAAGAGCATTGGTATGTGATATTATTGTGATAATTTAGTATCTATAAATCTAAGGATTCTTGTTCCATTTAATGGAAGAATTTGGAACTTAGAGAAAAAGGAGACTTTACTTTTGTCTTAAAAAATACCCCATGATAGATACTTTCCTGGTTGTGAGAGGAAAGAGTGCCTTGTTATTCCTACCTACGTTGGCCAATGCCTTCTCTAGCACAGCACAGCAAGAGATACTCTTGTTACACAGTTCTGAATACATATTTGCCTTCTCACAGCCAGGAAAATGTTTATGGAGGGGTATTTCCCACTATCCAGCTGTATGGAAGACTTTCCCCTCTCTTAGTTGTCAGTAGTATTTAAGCACCAACTTTATTTTCTGTATCAACTTAGTGTCACTGAAACATATTTGAATGAGATGCAGAGTCTCATAAAATGTTAGCAAGAAGCAAAGTGTTACCCAGGATTGTGTATGTTGGGGTTCTCTGCAAAAAACACAGCTAGCAGAATGTAGATCCACAAGAGTCAAGAAAAAAGTCTTGGTTCTTCATGACTCAGTAGCCAGTATTGTTTCAATTTTCGAGAGCCAGCCCCCAAGGCAATTTATTTTAGGCATATTTAATAATAGCACAATTTGGTGAAAAGAAGTATCTGAGTGATAATTAGTTCAATCCAGTGTTCATAGCTTAAGGCATGATTATATTGAAACCCCTGTAAAGTGCAAATGACATCTTCTATAAAGAAAGATTCTATAGAGCAACTATGGAATCAGGCTTTAAGGTAAACAAGCTCAACATAAGAGTCTGAGAGAGATGGTGTGACTATACTGATAGTGTAGAGGTCACCAGGCTATTAATCTCATTGGTTCTCAGCCTCCTGGGTGGAAAAAGGTTATACATCTCTCACTTTGGAAAGAGAACCCTGTGTGTTTAACATTTCTGGTTTCCCTAGTGCCTGTCTGTGAGCACAAGGGACCGACATGCCTCCTACTGTATAAAATTATCCCTTGTTCTACCAAGAGCAAGAAGAGCTCATATTAAATGAGTCTGTGTGTTATGGCTAAAGTGCCCCCTTCCTCACATCAGTGCTGTTGACAATGTCCTAAATGATAGCCCAGGCCCAGCCCAGGCAGGAGTCTGAAGAGTAAACAGAAGGATTAATATCAGGTAAACAGAAACAGAAAGTCAGCATTCCTCAGGAATCTCAGGAAGCTAGTTCCTGTTTGTTAGCAAACCCATTAGTTTAATACCCACCAGCAATGGTCAACTACCTTGACAAAGGGCAAAGTGAATCTAATTCCTGATTAACCAAAACAGTCTGCAAGAGACCAAAGTCCCCATGCTAACTCCCAGGCTGTTCTGGCCCTCACCCCTCCTCCAGCCACTACCTGTCTCCATAAAACCCAGGAGGCTTTTCCTACTGACTGCTTTTCTCTGTCCCTGAGAGACAACCCAGCAGTTTGTTTTGGCAAATAAACTACTCTTCTACACATGGAATGGTCTAGTTGGTGGTTTCACTGTGTCTCCAGACACTGTGTTTCACATGTGTGTAGGGAGCTTCACTATGTAGCCAAAGATGATAATGAAAGAAGGCAAGATGTTAGTGTTGCCCAACCAAGATTTAAATCACCCTTCATGAAAATTATTCTGGGAGAAATTATGGACAACTTGGAACAAATTAAAAAAGAAGTTTCTACAAAGGAATGATAGATTGCAAGAAGGTCCTGTTAGGATTCCTAGCTACACCCCCCCCCCCCCAGCTACATGACTACATGCACTGTCCAGCAGTCAGGCAAGACATTTAGTCATCCCAGGGTCTTATGTCCTATGTAATACATGCTTTTTGTGATTATGTAATTTGCACACAGCCTGACCATACATAGGCCCATATGCACATGCTGGGGGTGGAGAGCCCATAAAAGCAGGTTCCACCTATTCCTCTGCCCCCTATCAACACTGGTCATTTCCATAGGCCTATGTACCCTTTTCCTCCTATTCCCTTTCCTTAATAAACTCTTATAGTGAGTTTCATTGTACCTCATGTTTCTCATGGTAAATAGCACCACATAATAAATAACGGGCCCTAATGGGAATGTAAAAACATAAGAGAAAGTCCAAGGAAGTAGGGAACAGAAAAGTCTTAAAGAGGTGGCACAATACAGAGCCAATGGGCACAGACTGGCAGAGTTCCTTCCTCCCTTCCTTTACTCCTTCATTCCTTTCTTCTTTTCTTCCTTCCCTCCTATCTTTCCTTACACCATTCTCCTCTTATTCCCTTTCTCCATTTCTCTTTCTCACTTTCTTTCTTTATTGACAAATCAAGGAACAATTCACCAGCACACTAGTTTGTTGTAGTCTAAATACATAGGAATTTAAGAACATAAGAATCTCAGGAACAAATGGAAATCAATGTACATTTTATAAATTTAGCACTGTGGAAGGGGAAGGAGCAGAGATATTGCAAGAGTAAGAGGTAGAAAAGTTGTTTCTGGGCACAACAGGGAAGTTGAGCATATGAAATCAAAGCTTTGTGACAACGTGCACAAGTACTGTCCAAGCTCAAGTAAGACAAAAATTCAGCATGGAGCAGGAAAATCAGCATGAAGTCTCACCCATAATGAGATAAGGGTAACTGATAGCGTCCTAGAGTGAAAGAATTAGCTTTTCTTTATAGTGTGGCTTGTAGTAGATGTACCAGATTCTAGAGGATGTCATACACCTAAGAGGAGGAATGGATGGGACTCAATGGGTAAAATAAAATAAAGTACACAAAGTTGGGTGTGTACGGAGTGGAGAAAGAGATCATGGAGGATATAGGGGGAGAGTGCTGATTATGACCAAACTGCATTGTTTGAAGTTCTCACGGGATT